TTATAATGAATATTTTAAATGCTGCTAGTACGAAGAATTAAGATTTTATTAATAACTTTGTAAACTACAAATATAATTTAAATAAAACCCATTACACAATTTCCAGTGATTTCAATTTAATAACAAAGAGTTTCATTCAAATTTCTGTTATATTAATAAAAATGATTTTTTCAAAACCGCTAAGACACGTGCCAACGTGCAACTGGTTGCGTTAGCTATTTTACCTCGTGACTGAAAAATAGAATGGAATGGAATGGAATGACGGATGGAGCTCGTCAGAAATTATTAATATTTTCTATATTTTTAGAAAGAGAAAAAATGTAAGCAACACCTACAGCTTGCATGTAATGAGCCACTCGTTAATATTAAACGCGTGCATTAACAAATTTTACGTCTTAAAATTATGCCAATGTTAATGAATTTTCTAAGAAATTTCTCTAAACTAATGAACGAAAAATGTATGACATAAAAAATGCATTTATTTGTTGTTCCAAAGAAAACGTTACATTAAACGATAAATAGTTTATACGCAAATGATTTGTGTGTTGGCATGTGGCAAAAGAAGGGGAAAATAAAAAATTTAATAAATAAATATCAAATTTTACGAAAGCATTTGCTCAAACTTGTTTTTCTCACATGCGATAAAAATAATTCAAAAGAAATGATGTGATGCCTTAGTCTAAAATATAAGTCTGTATATGTACATGCGGACTTAATAATAGGAAAACAATTTCATTAAAAATTGATTTTGATGCCTCTTTTTTTTTCCTTTTTTTTTTTGTATTTGCAAAGAACATACATTATATTTAGTTATTTTTTTTATTTTGAAAAGAATTCTATTATTTTTTTTCTCTCATCAAAACAACCGATTTTATTGTAATTTTTTTTTTTTTGTTTTTTTTACGATCTTTATCTTTATTTGGTCATGCCCGTAAACACAACAACAACAACAACAAAAACAACAAAAACAACAATAACAAAAACATATCCAAAATAATATTTACGTATTGTGAAATTCTAAATATTGTGAATAAATTTTGAAAAAAATCAGTTGAAAACTTAATGTGTTGAAAATACAATGTTTGTGTATTTACGACACCATCTAATAATTATGTGGGAATTTTTTTTTTTTTTGAATTTCCTTTGAAGGGTACATATATATATAAATTAAATATTCCAGAAAAGTCTTCATCTCATTAACGAGTAAAGCAATTTGCCTTAGCCTCCATAATCTCTAGATAAACAATTATTTTATCAATTTTTATATTTATCATAAATGTCACCTAAAAAAGATAATAATTTTGTCAATATAAGAGACTGTATAAAGCAAAAGATGAATGCAAAAAGTAATCCTTTTTTTTTTCTTAATAATTAAAATTTCTTTTCTTTATTTTTAGGAAGATTATAAAAATGATATATATATATATATATATTTTCATATGTGCTTTCAGATTATATATAAATATGTTTCTTTTCCGTTTGCCAACTTTGAAAGGACCTTTTTCCATCCAACCAATAATTTCGGTATCAAAAACATATCCGTTTTACATGAGAGAATGCAACGTTGAAACAAAATATATACATATATACATTGTTGTTTATTATTGTTAGTTTGTTCACTTACACGCATTGTTAACACTAGAAATACCGATACCTTATATAAACTTATTTCTATCAAAGGGACTCAATTGTGAAATTGCGACAGTCATGTGTTAGATGAATAGTTGAAGTTAGATAATGTGAAAAAGTCTGTGTAATTGTCCTACAGAGACAAACATATAATAGCCAAAAACAAATAAAAACGCTATGGTGAGGCTGTGTCCATCATTAAACACCCTACACAGTTTACTTAATACAATGATTCACTTTTTAAAATAAGACATTATATAAAAGGTAGACCGATCCGTACCTTTGTGAATAGTGTTGGTGCTTGCGGCAAAAGACGCCGGTTTATCAAATCGATTTATCTGCAGATTGAACATAAGAATACAGGTCCTTCTACCACAAGTGTTATAGGGTGCAAAAAAGAAAATGAGCGGCAAGCGGCTACAATTTGCTCAAATTTAAGCAATGGAAAGGCCTTGCGCGCTGTAATGTTGCAACGGAGTTACAGCTGAAATTTAAAGTCGATAACGTGCGAGTTTGGAGCGCTAAGAATGCGATCAACTTGAAAAACATCGTTTCGAGGAAAACGCAGGTACACTCCCAAATAGTGAGGCATATTGTGAATAATGCCCTTCTTCAAAATATCGACATTTTAAAGCTTGACAAAAAATTTCGTCACATAAAAGAATAAAGTTTCAAAGATTCATAGCTTCACCGCTTCACAAATTGAGAAAATGCAGAAAATTTCAAATCAATATTAATATGAGACTCACGCGGCACCGTCAAAATATCATCTTGTTGTAAATATGAAACCGGAACTTTTTCACACACGGTGCTTATATGATAATTATAAGCGATATTTTATTCAAAGCATTGTTCATCGCAAAGCATTGTTCCGTCTGTCTAACAATTTGATCAGACTACATTTTTAATCACCTTCCATATAACATCTTGTCGTCATATTTGCAACTGTATTAAGCAAAGTAGTATAGGCCATTTAATGACGGTTCTTGTCCCACTCACTATTCTTGTTTTTTTTTTTCACTTAATATCGAATTATCGTTTTCTTTTATTAATAGATTTAAAAATCGGACGAGCTTCACCCGATACTGAATGATATTTTAAAAATTATTTGAGCTTTTCTTTTACACAGAAAATTGTAGCCTGCAGTAAACTGGGCTGCCGCATCGAATCGCGATTGTCAATTCGACGTTGGTGGATTCAAATCCTAGTGCGTTTTGTGATCATACTTAGTCGCAGCTATAATGGGTACTTAGTCGACGAAGGCATAACACTCATCGATTGGGTACAAGACCACTAGGTTACGGCCACTTCCTGTCCTATCTCTTTCTCTTTGGTTTAATCATTGACATGTTGCACTTAACGTGTATGATTGGTCTTATTACAAACAAAAGAAGAAGAAGAAAAAGAAAGAAAACTTAAGCCATCATTGGACGTTACTGCTTGTAAGAAGCAAAGTCTTGAAACCCTTTGGAGTACTTCAATTACGGCACAAATATTTGTACCCAGTTGGCCTCATTGCATTGATTACATTTTGTAAATCAATTCGATCGAATGTTTCATAATTTGACGCTCGCATTAATATTAATTTGTTTATGTTTTGAATTCTTTAAAAATTAAAATATTTTTTAAAATAATAAACTTTTCTTTATATTCAAAACACTTTCTTCTATATATGTATGTATGTGTATTATTGAATTAATGAAAACTTTTAGGTTTTTTTCATTTCATTCACCTCATCTTTGTTATTTTGAATTTTAAATTATGCTTATCACAATGCGAATGAAAATAAAAATATAAAACACTCCTCTTTCCCTTTTTTTTTTTTTTTTTATTATTATTCTTATGGAAAAAACAAGTTCAAGTAATGCGATTATTATTCAACTTGAAACGAATGTCAAAATACCCTGCTTTACGTTTCTTATTCTAATGCTATTACACCACCGTTGCAATACTACGCCTCCCTGTTTTACATTTAAAATCTTATGATTTAGGAGACGTGTGCTTGGAAACATTCATCCTCTTGAAAAGTTTTTCGAAGTAACTGAATAAAAGTTTAAGTAAGTAAAACATTTTGATCTTTAATAATACAACAAAAATACATCAATATTTTGAGTAAATATTTTGGTATGATCAACCCTTGTTGCCCTAGTAACTACTTTTATTTATATTTTGTTTTCTTATTGGCTTGAGGGGGGGTGCAGCGTCGTTTCCGCTACCAGATGTCTATATATTTTGACGTTATCTATATGGAAAACTTTATTGTAAAATCACTATCACTTGTTTACACATCAAGCAGACTTAATTTGAAAGCGTGACCCTAATGAATATTTCATGATTTTTATTACCTCAACCACAGCATGCTCGTAAGATTATAAAATCGAACTTAAAATTGATCAATATGTTAGATAATTTAAAATATATTTAACTCAAATTTTCATAATCATTTCATTTAATCTAATACACACATTAATGGCATTCATTTCTTTTATTACGGTAGGCATTGAATTTTATATTCGAGCCCGTTTCCATTCTCGATCCCAATTATCAAGTTGCACTTCACTATCTCAAAGATCTGTCTAACACCGTAACTACCGTTAAATATTCTACACCACTTCGCTTAATACAGTTATTCTTATGACGACATCATTAAAGTGAGGTCTTCTTTGGAAAGTGGAAGTCAATATATGTGGATTGTTCCGAACAGTTTCGAAGAGCGTCCGTTCTTGGGCCAAAACATGTCTTTGTACCAAACATCCTCAACATATCTCAAAAGTTACGAACTGCAGAAACCATGACGGACGGACGGATAGACAACCTTAAATCGATTTACAAAATGATTCCAAGTTAATCGCGTCGTAGTTGGATCTACCTCAACTGTTTAATTTAATATACCCTTATACCAGAAGTTGTGTGAGGTATAAAAAATCAGTTAATCTCACTGGTTAAAAACCAGGGACCGTCCACACGGACAGACAGTGCCCAAACCTCAACCATCTCCATAAAGGTATATCTAGGCAGCCGTGCTACAAGGTAGGGTATAGGTGCTTTTTAGCGGATTATAGTCTTGCACTACTCTAAGTAGGCGGCTTTCGATGATTTTTAACCTCAAAAAAAAAAAAAATCACATCCACAGACGCAGCTCTGAGCGACGTCGATAGAACAATCAGTCCATACAAACCATAAGAAAGAGAGGAGAGCTCATCTCGGCAAGGAAATGACAGACGCGTTGGCAAAGAACGGCGAAAGGCAGATAGATCTTCACTTTTATACCAATCCTGGTACAGTGAATCCTGACTGGTCATGGATGCTTCCGGAAGTATCTGCATAGATTCAGACTTGACAGACCGTCGTTGTATCGGAGTTACCTCGAGATGAAGGAGGACGCTAAACATGCCGTATTTTGCTGTATAAGATTCGATCGAGGACGGCCCCAAAGCGAGCCGGACAATATTATCAATAACATGATTAGCGATAGAGAAGTGTGGAGCGCCGTGGAAGTTTTTGTAACAAAAGTGATGCGTAAACTGCGACGCGTAGATAGGCAGCGGGTGAAGAGAAGAGGTAATGGAAATCAATAAGCGAATCTACAGCAACAAGAATCCGCAAAGCAATACCTAACGCTTGGCCCAGCGAACGAGAGTGGCCGAGCAAGCGTGTGAGGGGGGTAGTTTCGGTATGTAGGCACGACGGATCGTGCTTGCTGGTGGTATAGGTCAGTAATACGTTTGGAACATTTCTATGTGTAAAAAAAAATAAATAAATAAATAAATAAAATACACACATACCTAAAATATAGGATATTAAACACAAGAATGTAAGTGTATTGGAAAAGTGCTGAAAAGATGTTCATATAAGTGCTTAAGAGAAAATATATTGCAGTTTAGTTATTTTTTATCACTATCAGCGAAAGATGGAATATATGTTTCCTACATTTATCATTCCTCTCGAAGCTATCTTAAATGCAGCCATCAGGCATCGAGGATGCTATAAAAAGCTTGTTTTTTTATCAGTGAAAACTTTGGGCGAAATCAGTCTGATCTGCAAGCGTACCTTTTCATTTCTTTAGGGAAACCTTACGATTACAGCATTTGGGGTAGAAAAGAGAAACTGAACGAGTGAACTTTGAGTTAATGGACATATTACGAGTTTAGAATGGTATTAGAAGGCAAGAAGGACAAACTTGTTCTTTTTATTTTATTTACAATACTTTTAAGATAAACGACGTTAATGCGATTGTTTCTCGCTCGCACCAATAATATCGATTCTTAGATTAACAAGCAAAGCAACAAACAGAAAAGGGGCAACATTTTTCTATAGCTTCCGAGCTGACGTTGTTGCTGACGTTTTTTTTTTTTTTTTTCTTTCTAGTTCAAATACAATAACATCATTTGTATATGTGTATGCGCAGGAACTTATTCATGAATATGTATGTGTATATATTTAGTTAACATAAAGGAAAAGTCAAAAGCAAGATTGAAAGTTTAATCAATGCATATACAATACGCATTGGAAGAGTAGCCTCATGAATATGTAAATTAATTGACTTAATTACATAAATGTGACGTTAATGATGACATCTTTCTTGTTTATGAAAATATTGCTATTAAACGGATGGAGACCTAAATGAGAAAATTTCATTCAATCAAAGAAATAAAGGTATTTATATATGCCTCTCATACTCTTTGACATTTTCATAAGAATATTGTTAAATTTATGAATTTACAACACAGTTGGCCAATTAAACCATTGACGCGCCTAGAAAAACAAAGCAAAACAAAAAACAAAAAAGAAAAATAACACAAGTCATGTTATCACACAAAAATAACGTAAGTTCTCTTGTCTTAATACTTTAAAACTCGAAAGCAAATAATAAAGCGATAACCGCCTTTTTGATAAACATTTTATTAATGATCTCCTCTTTTTCTGCCATACCCACGGTCGTCTTAATAATAGTAACGTGGTATTGTAGAGAGGGATAATATGATCAAGTACTTTGGCTACTTTATACACAACAACAATAAACCTTTGTCCCTTTAAACAAGTAAGTGTCCAAGTAAATACCAAAGGTATTAGATTGCATTATGAAAATAAAAAAATTTAATGCCTAATAACTGTTTTACTGTTTATGTGCGTGCTAGTGTTTTGTTTGCAATCATGTGAGACGGGAATGATTAATACTATCCCGGCAATCGTCATAAATACATTTAATTAAGTAATTTAAGCATATCTTTAGGCATTTTGTTATTTATCGATTGATTTCATCTATACATGAGATATATATATATATATATATATATATATATATAAAGTGCCTTTAATGTGTCAGCTAAACTTGTCTATAACACAATAACAAAGTCAATAGAAGAGAATTTCAAGAGAATCGCAATTTGTAATGAATGATCTTGTAAACATATCTGAAATGTATTTGATGATGAAGCTGCAGCGTTTGTAGAGGAACTCATCAATTAACTGCAAACGTATAGCAGATTATATCTTAGAAAGAAGGAGTGTTTGTTTTTTTAACCGTTATGTTCCTTAAAAAAAAAAAAAAAAAAAAAAAAAACTCCGAGCCACGAAATGCTGTCTTGCTTTCCTTATATCGAGCTCTATGAATCATGGAGACCATTAACATCGAGACGAAAGCCTAACTCTTGTGAGATGTTAGACGCCTAGCCTATGTATATGTTCAATATCAAACTGGGTGGGCTTTTTCCAAAATATATCTATACTTTAACCAAGAAATCCCCCAAAAATTAACTTATTAGGCCCACTTATTACTCATGATAATAACTTACTATAACTTTTCCGGGGAATTTTTGCTTGTCAGTGCTTGTCTTGGAAAAGTAGTAAAAGCTATCGAGACTCAATTCCTTTTCAGCAAGGTACTCGTGATAAGATAAGTAAGCCGA